AGCTTTGCATAAATTAGGGGCGTGGTCTACTTTAATGGACATGTACATGCCTCACTGTCAGCTAACAGCAACTTGTCCACTCTGCTAGGCTACAACCATAGAGGCTACAACGTTAGTTAGTCATAGTACTGTACTTGACCCTTTAGCTTTAGCCGTGTTCGTGGTGATTGTGCCTTTTAGGGAATATTGTTACAAATACCAGACAATTGCACACAGTTGTGCTGTGCGCTTGAATATACTAACAGAACTTCCAAGAAGTCTAAAATGATAATATTATACATGTTAATCCCGTTCGCAGGTGTTTGTGTGCTTGGTAGCTTAGCTTGTTACTTATTAGCCAGCTAAGGACGTAACCCTTTATACTATATACATTTTTGTTTATGATTCAGCCTTGGGTAAGACTTTTATAGTCTATGGCTATGACGCCCATAAGGCTAAACGGGAGCAAATGTTAATAGGGGACCCAATTATCCCAGTGGTGGCCGCCGGAGCTAATGGAGCCGCAGGGGGCTAGCTCCAGCCGGCGTCCCGGAGCTAGCCCACTGCGGCTCCGTTAGGTCCGGGCGATGGAGTCCGTCGTTATAACTGGAGATCAAGGAATGCAGCGAAACGCAGACTTGGTTCGCCTGCTGTAGTATTAGCTAAATAAATTATGTTGAACAAGGCTTATTAAGCTGAACATCGCCACAATTGTTCTGCTATGTATCGGTACTTATTTTTTTAACGTATAGCTAATTCTCTTGCAGATTGTCTCATTTGTTTATGAATGTAACGTTTATATAGGGGAACTACACTGTTAGCAGTAACTTGGTATGCATGTATTTCATGTTAGCTTAGCTTCTTAGCCTGAGCTAGCTCTGTTTACTTCCAGTTCGGAGGCAGCAGGTCCCACCTCCGCCTCTTATTTGGAGCAGGCGGGATTAGACTCTGACGTCGCTGTCAAGCCGTTAGTGGCCGACTCCGCCTACTAAGGGCTTCTCGGCAACTCTGCAGAATCCTATGGGTGACGTCACGGACACTACGTCCATTAATATATACAGTCTATGGTCCCAACACATCAGACAGCCACACACTCAGAGCTCACAGCTCCTCATATCTGTTCAGAAACTGGACAAAAGTTAAACAAGTACAAACTACAGACTGTCTATGTCATGGTGAATACAGTTGCTCCTTTATTTATGTCTGTATGACGTTGTTGTGAGTGTGGACGGAGCAGCTACAGGTTAGTTTAGCCTGATGGATCCGATTCCATTCAGAAAACAAGCATTTTAAAAGCTTTTCG